CATGACCCTTTCTTGGCAGCATGCGCCAACACCTGTCTAAGCACTGCCGCGTCGATCCCGCCGGCGTACAAGTCCACACTTGCACTCCGATTCTCACCGTCCTTGCCACCAAGATCAACGTAGTTGCCACACGCCACTAGCCGGGCCTTGAATCTACCACCACTCTTTCTGGTGCACACAAGCTTGCTTGGGATGACCATGGCACGCGTTCCAGCTTCTTGGTACTTGGTCAGCTCTTCCTCAGAAATCACCTTGAGAGCCTGCTTTTCATGTGTCATCGAATGCAGCTCCTTTTCAAGAGCATCCTTCCAAAGACCATAGTACCGCTCTACCTCAACCAAGGGCACCGTGTGCGTGCACAGAACCTCAGCATCTGGCAACAAACTGTACACCAGCTCTTCGCCAGCCTTGGCACAGCTAGTTTGCTCCAGCTCAAGGATCTTTCGAACTACGGCATGCCTTACAGCGTCATCAACAAAGTCATCGTCAGCAAATTGCGTTGGTTGACTCACATCCGCATGCCGCCTACACTGAGACCTGCCCTCGTCACTCAACCACTCTTTCAAGCACTTAAGTGACACGTCAGGGTCAACTGCACTCGGACAAAGGCCCAATGAAACCGAACCCTCATCCTCACAACTCTCCAGCGCGCAAGACTCATACGACTGCCAAGTGTCTGGAAAAAAGGGAATTAGGGAAGGGACAACCTTACCTAAACCACTACCTGACAGCGAAGTTCCGCCTAGCGCTCCACACTCAGCTTCACTGAGACAGGCGATCCGAGATTCGTCACCACCTGCAGACCTAACCGACCCGCACACTCCCGAACCTTCCACCTGCCCTGCAACATTTGTTTGATGAGCATCAGGGGCATCAAAAGGCCCAGCTGACTCACCGCCACACGCCCCGCCCACGAAACTTTCACCCTCAGGATGTCCTAGCGACGCTGGCGAAGCCTTTAAAAAGCGACCTACAGACAACACGTCTCTCTCACAGAGCGAGCAGACCCCAACAGAGTCTTTATCACACGCCCCACACCTAGTACCCAAGCATCCGGAACCCCGACCCGCTACCCAGGCCTCACTAAGTCCCAGAGCCTCATGATTTCCCTGAGCGACATGCTCAAGGCTGGCAGGGGCGATCAACTCCCTAGCCAAAGACGAACCCAGGGCTCCTACAAGCCCCTCAGCAACTGCACTCCCCCGACCCTGCGCCTCAGCCAGTGCGCCTGTCTGAGAAGTGCCAACACTAGGAACCACTACAGATCCCTGGCCAAGATTCGCGCTCCCCCGGTCCTGCGCCTCACCTCTAGCACAAGCCGCTGAAGTCTTAAAAGCCTGCTCCTCAAGAGCAGCAACAGAACCTTCGTTTTTGTTTAAGGGTTTTTTGTTTTTTACGGTTTTTTGGGATTTTTGTGAAGTGTCTGGGTCTCCCCCCTGCTTTGCAAAAGCAGCTCCAGGAAGACATGCATGCGCGGACTCACTTGCACCTACAGGAAAACCTAGTTGACTTAAAAACTGAACTTGCTCAGGCATGGCCTTGCTATACCCTTTTAGGTTATACGCGACCAACAACACACGGCGACCTTCACTCCAACTTTCTGAAGCATGCCACACATGCGGATCAAACCTAAACGGGGTCAGAGAGCTCAGGGAAAAAACCTTACCTTTACAGGACTTACCAGATCCTACAACCCTCACGTCGTCACCGTCAGGGCACTCTGCCCAGATTCCACCCCCAGAGGGCGGCACAGCAAGCGGGAGCACCAAGTTTGGGGAATCTTCATTGTACCTATCTTTGTGAGGGGGCGACTCAACCTGATTCAGGACTGCTACCGTGGTCCAAGACTCTTTCGGGGCAACCTCGCGAAGAATGCAATTCAAGAGCCTAGCAAATCCCGGACTGCGCTTTGCCGAAGTCGTGATGCCGGTCACGCCCCCATGCTGAAAGAAACCCACTACCTTACAAGTGCCTGAAGACTCATGCATCAACTTCCGTTGTTTGGCTTGGCGCGTTTGAATCCACGATGAACTCAAGAGAAAATTGACTGCAGCTTGCAACGGGAAGGGCTTGGTGTCAACAAGCTTTTGAGCCTTGAGGTTTTCGGGATCTTCATGAACACTAGCAACTGTAGTCTTGGCCCTGTACCTACGGCGGGTGGAGGACTTGAGAGGAGCCGCTTCCGTAGCCTTATCCTCAGGGATGACAAACCGAGCTGGATCAAGGTATTCAACGTTTTCGTACACACAGCTGGTATTGTACAGTTCATCCTTGACTGTTCGGACAAGATACCCGCCATCAACCTCGAATGCTGGCGCAAGAACTCTAGCCTCAACAGCCTTGGCAGCCCACTCCTTGTCAGCATCCTTCTTCAAATGCCAGGTTCGGCGATGAACAAACACCTTTGCCCCAAAAGGAACCAGAGGCGGAAGATCCCAACCCAGCGCTTTAACCCTGGACTGAAACAACCTCCCTGCTGCGTGCCTCAAAGCGTAAGGCCAGTCCCGTGGGCCAAGCCCTGCATCCCGCAAGAGAACTCGAACAGAGTCCTTGAGAATGCCGACTAAGGCTTCTGCAGTGCCATTCGATCGCCAATTGTCTCCCCCAGTCGAAGACTTCCAAATCCCCCTTGACGCCGCCCAGTCCCGAACAAAGCGGTTGTCAAATTCAGCGCCCTTGTCCGAGTGAAGGCGAGCGATTTTTATCCCGAGACAAGACGCGCGAGCATCAATGAGCTTCAGTGCCCTCAAGACCTCCTGAGCCCCTTTGTTCTTCAACGGAATCCCGAAAGGAACGTTTACCATCTGAACCTTGCTCAGGTAGTTGTCCTTGTCAACCCCTTCCTCTGGAAGTAGCTCACCAACCTGTTTGTGCTCCGCGTCAAGCTCCTCGTAATCACCAGCTTGTTCCCACTCCGCTGGCTCTTCACTTGCACTTGGTGCAGGCTCGTCGGGTTCGTCGGCTACCGGCTTCTCACTCCCAGCAACATGCACATCAAACGGGACTGACAGATTGGCAGCCAAGAAATACCTAGCCCTGACACCTTCATGTACGCCTTCAGCAAACGGACCAGACAAATCAACAGACAAGACATACGAGTCAGTGATTGGCTGGCGAAAGTGGGGAGGCTGCTTAAGGCGACCCATAAGACAACTCCAACAGGCCTTGTTGTAGGGGATATGCCCCGCGGCTACATGATCCTGAAGCGTTTGTGTCACAGTTTGTTTGGAGAGTCTAGCCCTGGCAGCCTTCACGGTCTCCCTTGCAGCCTGCTGGCGAAACTTGGTAGCAATCGAAGCCAAATACTGCTCAACAGCCTCAATCAACCCAGGTGCCCACTTCGCCCACAACGCGCTGTCACCAACCTTCTTTCCGCCTGAACCGAAACCTCCTCCCTTTACCATCCTACACCACTCAGGCCAATCTTCAAAAGTTGAGGCGATAGTAGTTGGCTTGCGACGCTCATGACCTAAGGCACCCTGGTCAACATGGAGACATACCCCAACCTCAAACCCTCACTAGTCTGATTCAGACCCCACTGTGCGGCCATACTCACAAATAGCTGCTTGATCCACAATTCATCGTCAGCCTGGACCTTGTCTAACTCTGCTTGCGGAAGTTCAGGAAGTCCCCATCTGCCCTCACCTTCCCTTGACCTCACCACGGGAGGACCACTCCCATGACCTCGCATCACACTCCGTGTACGACACGGAAGTCCTGACAACACCGCCACCAACCTACCGGACAACGCGAGTGATAAGATGTAGGAGTACACGGCAGGATTCAACAGGTCTTCCTCAACGTCTATCGGCAAGACGCTCAGCCCGAATCTACTGGCCACTGAGTCAAACGCCCTTCGAGCACTCCCACAGAACAGGTGAAGGATCACCCCCTGAGATTGTTCAACTGATCTTCTCCTTCGGCGATTCAACACCCCTTTTACCCCTTCTGAAGGAACCAACCAGGAAGTGCTATCAACCAAATCACCGGGAACCTCAGGAAACAGTGACTGCAGCGTAATCCGATGCCACGCTTGAGCCTTGACTAGATCACCCTCCTGACAACCATCCCTTAGCTTCTCCATTCCTATCGTCCAAGCGGCAGTCTGATCGGCACACGAAGCTCGAGCAACCCTCACCGATTCTGCAACAGCTGCCCCTTCCTCTAAGGATGTTTTCTCAATGAAATCAATGAGAGCTAGCGCAACCGAACGCGTGACCCGGGGGCAACCAGCTTGGATGACCGCAGGGACAGCAACACCTTGAGGATCAAGGAGCAAGAATGCCCTCCGGGACCACGTGATCTTGAAACCGCACTTGATTAAGTGTCTGGCCGAGACTATCGGTTCAATCTGTTGTGATGTCAACAGCGTACCCGCCTGATTGACCTCAACTTCGGCCTCACCCTGAGCAAGCGACACCACCCGAACCCCAACAACGACATCTCCATCTACCTTGGCGCGCATACAAGCAGACGCACCTGAGTCTATCAGGCCCGTGGGCTCATTGCTACCTGGCCTACCTCCGTAGCCGTCACCTACAGTTTTTATGGAGGTCTGCAGGGTCTCAATCATGGCTGCGGCTTTCTTGAGAATGTCTTCAGAGTCCGTGGCGGGGGCCTGGCTAGAGGACTGACTAGGTGGCATGGGATTGTTGGAAGCAGGAGCCGAGGCCTGAGCGCTAGCCTTTGCTACCGTTTCACCTCCCCTTCCTTTTCCTTTCGGATTCTCTGAAGCACGTCCGTCCTTAGGCTCATAAGGGCATTCCGATCGCATATGATTGAGCGCTGAGCAAGCAAAGCAACGCTTCTCGGAAGGGTGCAATGGCTCATGAGCAAACTTACAGGCCTTAGCGAACCTGCAACCCTTGTCGGTTCTCCAATGTTTGCAAATCGCCTTACCCTTGCCCTCAGCGCCCTTCGGAGCATCATCTCTAGATTTACCCTTCCCCTTGGCATCGTTGTCCTCAACCTTCGCAATCCTCAAACGCTTACCGGCATCTGCATCCCCGTCCGGCTTCGTCTTAGATCGAACTGTACCTGAAGCCACCAAGGTCTCAAGTTCACCCTGAACGAACCTCACCAACTCCACAACCTTGGCCTCAGTAGGCTGGTGATCTATGCTCTTCGCGAATCGGTAGGACGAAATCCTAAATTGTGATTCCGGGTACAACGCCAACGCCTTGGACACCATCATGTCCACACCTCCTAACAGTAAGGTAGGATCAGGAGTAGAGATGTGCAGTTCTGCTGCTCTGTGCTTCCACCGTGACCACCGTTTAATGCTGCGAAGTGCGGCTACTGGTTCCGTGCAACCGTCAGGGTTCGTGAGATAGCGCAACAACGCAGACCGTTCCTTCAGCCCACCTGGTTGGTAGGTTGTGTGAACCAAGGCTAAGAGCTCGATGCAGGACAACTTCCGATTTGCAACCAACTCTTCCTTGATTACTGTAGGCACGGCACGCAACAGCATCGTCAAAGCTCTCTGCTCAACACGTGCATACTTGGTGTGTTCAAAACGATATGGTTGCGAAGGTTGCAATGAAAGCCGAGCTACTGGGTCACACATCAACCAGTGCTGATAGTAAGAGGTTGCTGCATCCACAACCTGGGACCACCATATGCTGCTCGTGGACGAAATATCCTTCATGACAGGGCTAATCATCGCCAACCAATCCCCCGACAGAAGAGGAGCCAAGTCCCTTTCATGTTCCTTGATTTCCAGCTTTGGCAACTCTGAAACTGACACCCTGACATCCTCAGCGCGCTCACTGACCTCAGTGGAAGAGCCCGACAAGCCAAGCACACTTTTCAACCATTCCAACCCCTCACCAACCCTCTGTTTAGGAGACTTACTTCCTCCTGGGCTCTGCCTTGCCCCAACGGCAGCAGTAGCAAGCCCCCCTGGACGAGGTGGCGTAGTAGGAGGAAGAGGCGGAGGCAGGATCTCCGTTCCGCCTGGTGAGATCGGGTACCCGCGGTGAGACATAGAGCGCATCCCTCCTTGGACAGACGATCCCCGTACCGGACTCGTGCTTGGACGACCTTGTCCCGAAGTCAAACACCCGCTTTCGCCGACATTTGGCCTAGCAGCTTGACTATGGGAATACTCTAGAGCACCACCCACAATGGAACGAGCCGGGCCTCTGTGAGCCTGGGTTTCCAAGGATCCTAAAGGCCGAGCTTCCCCACCGCCTGTTTCATCACACAAGGCCCTCTGAGGGACAGGTTCGCTCACACGGATCTGCGCATGCTGCGGCTCCAAGGCCGGGAGTTCTGCATTTCCTACGACACGATGACTTGCAGGACCCTCGTGCAACACTGGCTTGAAAGGGGATTTGGCCTTTGGACTACATACGTGTACGAGTGAGCTTGGAGCACTCTGCCCTCCCAGCTGGGGTGTTCTGGCCTCAGAGACCAACACAGCGTTCATTGGACCGGAAACCCCTTGAGACAAAGCACCTACTCCCTCACACTGACTAGCTCTCCCACTCTCCGCTGGCACAGCCGCGCCACGTCTTGGAGTTGCTTCCGCGGCTCTACCCTGCCCAGCGAGTGACGGCCCCTCAATCCCACCCGCACCCATGCCCCCTTCCGCACCCAAAGTCGCTACACCCACGTCAGCCCTGCCGGTACTGCCGATCGGATTTGATTGCCTCAGATGCTCAGGCAAGCGAGGGGGTGGACATTGCGCAGGGAACTGCCACCACGGCGTTAGGAACTGCTGCCGATTCAGTTCGGCCACCATTTCTGATGACAGTCCTCCTCCAAATCCTGAGGCTGCTGTCCCAAAGCCCATTGCACCACTACAAGCACCCATGACACCACTGCCCAATCCAGCGTCCGAGGGAAAAATTCCAGGCGGCGCAGCAGTAAGTCGTGGCTCTGCTCTCACCGAGTCTTGAGACATTGATCCCCTGGAACTTTCGATCCGCTCCAACCTTTCTGCAAGCAGTCTCTGGTTCTGAATCACCGGTGCCAACTGTTCGGCCAACAAGCCCTGAAGCATGCCAGACAGCGAATCCAAAGGACCTGACCCACTGCCCGTGGCCTCATGAGACGGCGCTACACGACCAGTCCAGGAAGAAGGAACAGCTGGGTGCTCCGGAAGCTGCGAATAATCCGGAATCAGCTCTACATCGTCCACTTCCATGCGCATACCCCCACTGCTAGATGGCATACGAGCGGGCGCAGACGTTGGACCCGCTTCTCCCACTCGAGCTACCACCGGCCCCGCAAGAGAACCCACATCAGCCGGATCACGCGAGCTAGCTGATTGCCTCGCTGTTTCCTCCGACCCCTCTGAACGTTCTTCATTCAGTAGCTCCCTCGCTTCTGCATCTAGTCCCATTTCTCCAGGCAGACGATAATCGGGCTCAAATGCCTGACTCGCCGTCCCAGCACCACTCAACAACTGCTCCTCCGGAGATGGCCGATCCAGGCCACTCGGAACATCTGACTCGTTTGGATTCTCCATCACTCACAGAGCGTAGCTTGGGCTCATGACCATGGGACAACTTGGAGCACTACTTTATCCACCGCACAGGCTCAACGCAACACAAGGCAGTCTTGCTGTACATAACTTCACAAAATTTTCTTGTTGCTGCTGATACTGGCCATACGGTCCGATCAACTGGAATGTTGAAGAGTTTTAGCGGTCTGACTCGTCTGATAAGTTGCAAACTGATATTGTCCTTCTGGCTACGTGCAGTGCAACCTGAGCCTGAGCCTTCAAGAGCTGCTGGATCTCCGCCCAACACTCCGGCGACTCCCAGACGATGAGGTGCGTACCTCGCAGGAACCGCTCCTTAAACCCTTCAAACCAACAATCCATAACACCAGATCCTAAATCCAATCCACCAAAAAATCATATCCCCAAAACTAAGTTCAACCCACAGCACAACAACCAACACATACCTAAAGATACACCAAACGTTCAACCCCAAACTCATATATAACTTTAGGGACCCAAAAAACACATAATAAGCATAAACATTTTACCGGTATGTCCCTACCTTATTGGGCTTCCTTTTGAAGGGGTTTATATGGGACGTCCCTATCCTTTTATTCAAAAACCACAACCAACCGCAGCCCGCAATCCAAAATATACCGAGTTTCTACAAAGTTGGAAATTGAAAAGTAAAAATATAGCCTATGGACCTTAACCCGTTAAGTTCCTGATGTTTACAGCTACACACAACCACCGAAACTTCAAATAAAATACTGTACACCGGCATCTTTGTAAAAAACTGCTAAAGGAATCATAGGGAATTTAATGCAACCAAAATCCACTGCACCCGCCAGCCACGTCAGACCCCCCGACTTTTCAGGCAAGCTTCCCTTCACGTATACATATACATATACATATATATATATATATATACATACACGTGCACACACATACCAATGAAAATGTATAGGTGCTGCGGAAATTGCGAATCTGCAGCCATATCCAAGCCAAGTCAAGCCCACGCCGCTGCCTTCCGCCAAGCATCCAGCCATGGGTGTTTTGAAGAAGCCCGCTTCCAAGCAGCAGGGCATCCTCAAGCGGCCAGCCTCCGCCGTCCAGGAACTTCCCTTGGTTCCGTACAAGACGGCCGAGGAGCCAGAGGAGGAGGAAACCGAGGAGGGCGACGTGGAGGAGCAAGACGACGAGGAGCTCCAAGAGGAGCCCGAAGAAGAGGTCAAGGAGGGCGACAAGGAGACGAAGAACGCCAAGCCTTCCAAGACAGCACCGACGCTCTCCAAGCAAGCCCTCAAGGACCACAACCGGTTCCTCAAGGAAGCCAAGCACCTTTCGGAGGAGGACTTCGACCACTTTTTCAAGCAGCTCGACGAGAAGCAGAAGCAGTGCTTGTGGAAGAAGTTTGAGGTGTCAAGGGAGGGCAATCCAGGAGCCGAGCAAGCCTTCAAGGACGGCGCTGGCCAAGGATCAGGCCAGCTTGCCAGGAAAAGGGGCATGCTCAGGGGGTGGATCCAAGATGGTGGAAAGCCGGCCAAGTACTTCAAGCAGTCCTCAGTGGAGTTCAGTTGCACCCACTCCTCAGGCCTCCAAGCTTCCTGGTTGAGCTACAAGGAGACGTGCGACAAGATCGGCGAGGAAGAGCTGAAGGCGAGAGTGGCGGCTGGAACCATCCAGCACAGGAAAAACCCCGAGGACAGGAGGTTCTTTCAGTTCAAGCTCCACAAGGCTTGGTGCTGCCATAATTTTTCAATACTTGATCTTTTTCCCACTTAAACTTAAGAACAGATAGTGGAGTCATGCAGTTTCACAATTGTCAGGAAACCGAAGACACCACGACCTCCCGCAGAGCTGGCTCCAGGGCCCAGGCCAAGGCGGACGCTTCCTCCCTCGAAGAGTTCCTCGCCTTCGACAGTCTCAAGAAGGCCCCCGCCGTTGAGGACTTCGACTTAGGCGAAGTCTCAGGTGACGACGAGGACAGCCAGCTCAAGGCCTTCGTGGGCTTGCCAGGCGGCAGTGGGCAGAACAACAACAAGGGTGGAAATAAGCCCAAGCCCAAGGCCAAGACGAACAAGTGGGAGGAAGCCAGCCAAGTCAGCCAAGAGACCACTAGTGAACAGCTCAAGGAGAAGGCCACTCGATTCATGCTTGTTTTTTCAAATTAAGTTTAGCTCGAACCGTTTCTGTAGCTGTTTGTTCGCCCAACCATTTCCAGGCCAAGCTCTTCGTCACTGAGCTGGGCAAGGAATACGGTCTCTTGCAGGGCTTGAAGCTCCAGATCCAAGGCAGCGGCTTGGACGACAAGGCCACCTTCTTGAAGTCCCTCACCAAGCAGCTGCAGGCTTTGGAGCGGATCCGCACGACCCTGGCTGGCAAGAAGGCTTGCAAGATGGAGGACATGAAGCCCGTTTTGCTTGACGCGGTGACCACCCTCCAAGCTTCCAAGAAGCTTAAGGTGGAACTCACTAAGGCCCTTAAGGACGCCTGAGCAGTTTTTTTTTCAGGATGGCTGCATAGAGGCCCAAGCTCAAGCAACGTGTAACACGCAACAGTCTTTGGTACCACGGCCCTGCAGAGTCCAGCAAAAGCTAGAAGTCTTGAGTCTTGACCCGGCAGCTATTCCTGATGAGATTTTAGCTTATAGTTTTCATGAAGTCCAGGCAGGCAGGGTTTTCCAAGCTGTGAACGGCCTTAAGTCCAGGCCACGCAGTCTGGATGTTTTGAACCCTCCAGCCTCTTAGGCTCCAAGAGCAAAGGCAGTTCAAGGGAGAGAGCCTACTGAAACCTAAAGCTGGAGTTTCAAGCGCCAAAACACGCTATAAGTGTTTTGCAGCCAGGGACTGCTGCAAACTGCCTTTCGTTGTCGTGTTCAAGTTGCAAATTCCCCGCTTTGAAGCTTCGAGGACCAAGCCAGGTTTAGGTTTAGATGTCCAGGCGAAGCCATGCCAGGGAGGAAAAGGAAGACGGAGGACCAAGCTTCCTCTTCCTCCTGTCGCGACATAAAGCCAGAATCTCCACTTGCGGTGGCCCTTTTGAGGCTGTGGTGTTTGGGAGACCTCTCCGCCAAGGTCGTCCAGGAGTTGTCCCAAGCAGCTGTCAAGTCAGGCTGCTCCCAGGCCGACCTTGTGGGACTTGCCAGCTTGGGTTCGCACGGTGTTAACCCGAACCACACGCACCACCAGCTGCTTTCCAGGGTCTTCAAGGACATGGCTGCTCCAGACCCAACGGTCGTGCAGACCAAGGCATGGGGCAAAAGCCCCACAGGCCAGAAGATCCAGGTAGACTGCAAGCTTCCAGTCATGCTTCCGCACAACTGGATGCTAAGCCTGGATGGCATGGACGATGACATCCTGGGTATCCAGGACATTGCCAAGTTTTGGGACAGCCAAAAAGGCGCTAACTCCAGGGTGTCGGAAAGCCAGGCCTACTTTGACCAGGTTTTCCAGGACACCCAAGCCTTGGTCCCTTTCGCTTTGCACGGCGACGCAGCTCCCCACTCCAAGGTGGACAGTCTGCTTGTGATCTCCATGAGAGCGATAACGTCACGACGTTCGATTGACGCTTGGCTTCTCTAGTATTCTTTCGGCAGTACGACCGCAAAATCACCATTTAGGTCTTGGTGTCTCTAATTTTTGCTTTCGCAGTCCAGGCAAGCAGCCAACTGTTGCTGGCCTGCATTCCCAAGTCGCGCATCACGCCCAAGCTCATGGAAGATCTTTGGGCCAAGCTCTGCGAGTCCCTCCAAGCCATGGCCTCAGGAAGGTGCCCAACGACGCAACGGCGGTTCAGGCCAGGAGTGATCTACTGCATCACAGGGGACATGGAGTTCTTCTACCAAGAAGGACAACACTCAGGCCAAGGCAGCTGGAAGCCAGGCTGGAGCACCCGCTTTTCCAGGTCCAAGGAGTCAATGCTCAGGCTTTGAAGCTTGACGTCCTCCACGTCCTGGACCTCGGTGTGTCCTGCCATGTGGTGGGGAATTTGCTTTGGGAGATCATCGAAGACTCCAAGCCAGGTTCCAGGGACACCAACATGAGTTGCCTGAATGCCGAAATCCAGGAAATCTACCAGGAGCTAGGCATTCCTTCAGGCACCAGGTTGCCGAACCTGAAATGGAAGTCTGACATTGCCAGCAGTGCCAATGAGTACCCTTGCCTCAAGCACCAGAAGGGCAGGCGAATCAGGCATTTCATGCCTGTTGCTGTGGAGCTCGCCAGGAGGTACAGTGTCTAAGCTGCATTATTTGTAAATGTGAACACGACCTTCTTAAATTGTTTAAAGTTCTACAGCAATTTCAGGCTCGCAAGATGATCGCCCAAGCCTGCACCGACTTCGTGTCCTTGAGTCGCTGCGGGACATCTACGACTTGCTGGACAGGCAAGACTTCAAGTGGCCCCAGGACGTCAGGCGAAAATTCGCCGACCAAGTCCAGTGCTTGACCAAGCACTACGGCCATCTTGCCAAGCTGGCTTTTGATGCCAAGCAGTGTCGATATAGCCAAGTTTCCAAGTTTCACATGACGGCACACTTGCCAGAAGTTTCGAAGCACTTGGCCCCCAGGTTTTTTTGGACGTATGGTTCCGAATCCTTTATGGGCTTGATGTCTCACATCGCCAATGCTTGCCTTTCAGGCACTGCAGCTCACAAGGTGCCGGAAACCATCCTGTTCAAGTACAGGACGTTTTGGCATCTGCTTTTAAAGGGCTTGCTAGTGCTGGATGAGCCAAGCTGACCCAAGCAGCCAAGCTGCAAGCGGTCCAGGTCCAGGCCAACCGCAAACGGCCCAAGCAGCCAAGCTGCTCAAACGGTCCAGGTCCAGGCCGACTGCAAACGGCCCATGGAAAACAAGTCGCTTGCGCCATCTGCTAAGGGCCGGACGGCCCTATACGTACATTCCCAAGTGGTATAATCCGGACGCTTGCAAACATGTGTCGCCGTCTATAGCTGCAGTTTATAGGCTCTTCAGATGGCAAAAGTAGGAAGCCAGAAGAAGCCGGCCGCACGGCAGGCCAGAT